GATGCGCTCGAGTCGATCCTCCCCGTCAACCATCCGACCTTGGGCGACGCGGCCCTGACCCATCCGCTCGCTTGGATCGGACAACGGTTTCTGGCCTACATCTTTAGGAGCCGAAGCATATTCGAGAACGTCGCCTACCAAGACGTCGGTGTCTGCACGAACGTGAGCAAGATGAAGCTCGAGTCCGCCTCGATAGGAGGGGAACCCTCATGGGCCTCCGCTTTATTGTCTTCCTCCATCGATAACGGCGCGTTCTCAATAAACACGTTTTTTCAACAAAATGGCTCCGTCTTGGACGGGGTTATCCTTCGCTCGCTTAACACGGTGTCGAGTCTGAAGGATACCGATCAGCAGCTCCGCACGTTGCAGATGCAGTCGTGGGCACAGGCCGAGTGCGAGCGCCAGTTCCGATTTCTAAATATGCCTTTTGAACTGAAGATGATACATATCTCGTTCGATGACAAAATATGCGTTGTTTACTATCAGATTAATCCAAAGGCTGATACGAGCAGCGAGCCTAATATATCTCGACTATTACGTGTGCTACAATATCACCTATCTTGTAAAGTCCACTTGGTGCGTTGGCCTATAAAGGTTGAGCAGAAAGGGAATCATTAAATCCTTTGCATGACAAGGAAAAAGAGGTGGATTTCATAATAGAAAAGCTGAATTTAATCCCAAGACAAAATAGTCGAATAGGATAAAAATTGATAAATGACAAAATATAGAATGAAGTAAAAAGAGGCTTCTTAAACAAGCTCAGTACCAAACTGAAGAAGTGGTATGTGAAGAGTGCGAATACAAATTTACCATTTTATCCACTCTTCAAATGGGCATTAAATTAGGAATGCACGGGCTTATTGACAATAAATACACTTTGTGTGCCTTATAATTCTAAATGATTTTCCTTTATCAGTTTTAGTCACTTTCCCCTTTCCCCCTTCCCCCCTCCCCCCCCCCCCCCCTTCCCCCCCCTCCTCCACTTTACCCTCACTTACAGAACATAAATATATAGAGATGAAGAGAACGCACGTTAAGAATAGAACTATTCTTTTATTATTATATCAATTCCGCTTTTTTCTTTTACTGAACTTATAAAATCAAAAGCATGTTTTGATTTTATATTCACCTTTTATTTTCCATTCAATTGAAATGTAACTTAAAACTCAAGTAAAGGTCCTAAATTTCAACGCATATACTGAAATATAATTGTTATATAAACAGTGCGTTTATTATTATTTAGAATTGCCTTATTTTGGAGAAAAATCATTTTACAAAATTTCATAAATGATATGTACGACACTGTACAAAAAAAAAAAGAACATACATTAAATGGAAAAGAGATAGATTATGAGGATAGGAAAAACTACAATAACACGAGAAACAATGAAATGTACTATTATAGAGGTTCGTTAACTTTTTTTCGTATTTTATGACCTAATCCTTTCATATCATTTTCTATGTTGCTATAAAAGAAGGTTGAATATTGTTCTTATAATAGTCACTGTTATATATCGCACAGTTATTCCTTATAAATGTATGTGAATATATCTCCATGTGTTTAGTTATCCTTAATAAAAATGCAACAATGTTATAAAAGGAAATAACATAAATTCCTAGTTGTATACCCCAAAAATACATTAGAAAAGTTATATTCCTAATCGTTTAACAATTTTTTGACTATTTATATGTCTAGAAGCACAAATTCACTTATAAAACATCGTCAAGCTTATATATGAGTATATATAAGTTGGCGACATAATGATATAGAAACACAAACCTTCTTTTGAATTCATACATTTTTCTAGATTCCTTTTCTTCTTTGAGGGGCATATTCAACACCCCTATTCAGCTGACCTTATTTCGAACTATGACGAATCCAAAGACATTTTTATATGTCTTTCCATTTTTAAGGCTCTTTAGAAGTGCGTTTGTGATATTTCCTAATATATATGTATATACATAGATCTACTATTTTTCTCTGAATTTAATAAATCATGGGAGGATAAAAAATGAGAAAATAGTTCTCTTATAGTTATTTACAACTATCCATTTATGAGCTGGATGATTCATAAAGAAAAAAATTCTCTTAGCTTTTTCTGTTGGGTTACTTTTAAAAGTTTTTATTTAAGGCCTGACGTATATTCTGGTTATACTTTTCGCTTGAATATAGAAACCCTTTTTTGATATTATTACTAAAGGAATACATGATTAGATATTTTATTCCGAAGGGAAATCTGAATTCGCAAAAAAAAGAAAAAAAGAAACCAGTGGATTAGCAAAATTTAAGTACGTCAAATTGTTGATAGATCTTTTTCCCCAAACAACTGTTAAGCATACTTTACCCTCTTGTAATGGACGAACACAGTCAAAAGTAGTTACCACAAATAAGACGGGTCGCTAAAATGTGTTTTCGTCCGATTTACCCATTATTATTTCCGCCTACCCATTGGATTTCTCCATATCCCCTTTTTCCCCCTTCCTTTCCTTACTGATCCAACGGGTTACATTTTCCCACCTCAATCCCATTTCATTCCCGTAGTTTCCCCTAGAACCGCTTCCCTTTT